AATTTAGTGATTGCCTCATCACATACTGCCCTTACTTTTGCAAGGCTTCTGTTTTGTTGTGATCTGGAACAGCTGATTAGAATTCTTTTGTCTAATTGCATAAGCTGGACCAGCCTTGTAAAACATCCTTGTATAGCCTGACTTGCTGTGGCCAAGCTTTTTCAATTGGCTGGTTGACTGACCTTGGTTCACAGGAGGCCTTTTCATAGCCACCATTGTGGCTTTGGCAGCACTGTGGCCTTTGTTAATAGCAGGCTTTTTAAGCAACTTTTTCTGAGCCTGTGGCAAATTTGAAGCAAACAAATAGTGGCAAAGCTGAAGCAAGATGAACAAACAGCTTGGCCTTTGGCTCCAAGACATGATCTTTGGGGGTCTCTTGCAGGAAATATGCCATGACCTCCTCCTCACACTTGGAAAGGCTGCTGGCTTTCCTTTTCATAGCCTCCCAAAGCATACAACACCACACCAGGTTACCTTCAAATATGTCCTTCAAAAACAGTCTCTCCAATATTCTCTCCAATATTCCCACCAATATTCTCTAATAGCAATTGGCACCCTTTTCCTGCCTGGTGGGTTTGGAAGGCAGCTGCAGGCTCTGGCTTGGGGAGACTTTCAGAAGCCTTGGCCTTTTCAGGTGTATCTGGCAAACTGTCCTTCTTGTCCAAAATTCTTTGGAAGACTTCATAGCCAAGCTTGCTTGTGGAGCTGTCTTTGACAGCAAGCTCAAGACACTTAGAGCTGCTGGAAGGTACAGCGTGGCTGTCTGGAACGGGCACAATGGCCAGGGGATTCTCTTCTTGCTTGTCCATGATCTCTACCAAAGACAGAACTCTGTCTATGGCTTCACTTTCTTTCTCACTGCATTTTCTCATTTGTGATTGGTATTTCTCTGGCTTCTTCAGAAGCCTGAACTGTGCAGATGCAATTCTCAGCCATGTGTCTAACTGGTCAGCACAGAGGTCATTGGTCATTGTAGTTTTGTTGCAGCCCTTTTCTTCTGCCAGCTTCACCAAAGCTGACTTCAGCTTGCTACTGGCGAAGCAACGGTTGGGGACAACCACTGCCAAGTGCAGAAATAGTGGTGCCAAAATGCACAGCCAGGACATGGAAGGTGCTGTCTTCCAGTTGGTTTTGCTGTCAACAGGTTTGACCAAAGACATCAGGTCAAGTGTTCCAGCTTCTTTCATTCTCTTCAGAAATTGGCCCATGAGGTCTTTCACCCCTATCATGGGGTCTGGAGAAAGGCGCCTTTGCAACATGGCAGCTGTTTTTTCAGCAAAGAGTGTGAGGCTTGAGCTTTACCTTTGAGCAAAGCAGATAAGAAAGAACATATCATGTGTAGCACACAAGGCTTGTATTAATTTGTTTACATCTCTCCAATATACATTCTCACCCATCCTGTACCCAATAAACACCACTCCTCTCTCCAATAGTCAGTCCATGTCAATCCACACTTGCACTAGCATAAGGGAATGGCACTCAAATTTATTCGAAATAACAAAATATGCAGGCTGTTGAACCCAAGAGGTCTTCTTGTACACCACTAGAGCTTATTTTGAAAATAATCTCAAATGTTATTTTTGAAATAGTATATAAGCTACCTCAAGGTTATCTCACTCCAAATAGGTTAGTCTATTTTCTGACTAATCTCCTATTCCATTCCTAACTAATAGATAGAAAATAGGATATAAACTAGTTCATCCTTAATATAGTCTAACCGGATCTATAGGGTATACACGATGGTACAGCTTAGAATGCCATAGGCCCTTGCTGCGACAATATCGAATGAAGTGCATTTCGATCACCTTCAGGGTCCGTCGTTGGCGGGACATCAGGGGTTCTGGCGGCAGGGGGTCTGGTGCTCTTCGCCAGTCGCTTTCAGTCTCAGCAAAGCGTTTGGCCTCACATGTCACAGACTGAACCCGCTTCATGAGCTCCGAGACCTTCTCCATCGTGGTCTTCAATTCTTCCGGAGAGGCACAGCTTAAGCACATTTGTAGTGGAGCATCGGCCTCCTGTGAGCATAAATGTGTCAAAAGGCTGACCCACAGCAAAGGTGTCAAAAAAGGTCAAACATGTCCCAGTCCACTTGAGATGCCCAAATCCGCCCGCACCGAAGGTGCTGAGGCGTGTTGTAGGGTTCGCATGATTCCGTAGTACAGTTAGTACTAACTGTAGCGTTAGCTAGGGGGGAGGCCATTTTCGCTCTAGAATCCTGTGTTTTTCACGTTTTTGGAATCGGCTTAAAGTGCTTTCGTGCTAATGTTGGGTATCTTGAAGGCTTTAGGGATGCAAGAAATGCGAGTTTCTGCTTTGCATCATCTGCATCAGCTGAATCATCTGAGCGGCACACTATCTAACGGACATGTCTGCGAAGTAGGGACTTGAATGTCCGGGTACGTGGGTGGTCAGGAGCAGAGATAAGCAGGTCAGGTCCAGGAACGGTAATATTATCTCCCGAGCATAGCTCCCAT